ATGGCGTAGTCCTGTCCAGCCCTTATGGCCCACGTAGCTCGACCGAAGCCGCCTTGGACCTGTTCGCGAAAGGCGTTGTTCGAGGGCATTTCAACACAGAGCCGCTGGACAAGGTTAATGAGGTTATCGACAAGCTGAGGGCGTACGAGATTACTGGCCGTACGGTGTTGATCCCGAACCACCATCATTAAGTGATTCCCTTGCGATACTTTGAACAGATTGACGAATGTTTAATGTTTATGCAACGAAAATACAGTATTATTTAAAATGACTACGCTATATGACCGTCGTTGACTACCAGAATGTCGCTCGGATCCCGCTCTTCTTCAGTTGGCGTATACAATCTGATATCTCAGGCTGTAGGTCGCCTTCCGAATACCAAGGACAACCAATGTCAACGCTGATCCTCATGACGGGAGGAGGCAACTTGCACGGTCATCGATCGCCATGATGACCGTATATGTCACTGAACGTTGCACGTTGCAAAGGTGCGCTGGCTAGATCCGATATAGACAATGTTCGAAACGACCCGCATAACGGACGGGCCTTCTGGCAAGAACTTCAAGGACATGTACCCAACTGGCAGTTTTCCGGCCACCCATCTTGGTTTGAGCCAGTGTCTTTTCAAGACGAAAGCTAGCCTCGCATATAAGTATTCACCTTTTTCGTAGCCTAAGGTTCCGAACTGACCACCTCGCAAAAGTCTACCGCTGCCGTTGCTATCGTACTCAACAAAGGCAATGATGTTCAACTGACGTACTGTTCTTAGTAACGGCCATATAGCGGCGCCGGGCTTGTCCGATGAATTCATAGTAAGGTAGGTAGGTAGGTAGAAAAGCGTCATGGCCATTGAGGAACGACGGGTGCCAAGCGCACGTTCTTCATTGGATGTTTAACTTTCATACCAACTTTCTTCTCCGTTGACCGATTGTGGCCTCGGACTACTTCGTCGCCGTCTCAGATCTTGACTGCTGCCACGTCATGCGAGGTATCTGCCTCACGACAAGCAGCATGGGTGGTAGGTAGGTAGGTCGGTAGAAAACCGTCTTGGAACGACGGCCGGAGTGCACGGGGCAACGTTGTCAGGAGAGCTAAGACCCCACACCCCACACCTGCGAGCTCACCGTTTTTCAGGCCGTAGATTTCGCACCTTCCAAGCATCGTGAGATGATCAATGAAGGGCCGCAGCCACTGTGCAAACTAGCACCTCGATCAGTGAAAGGAATGTAAGTCACGGGAGATGTTTGTCTCCGGTAACAGATCACATTAATGCGAATCAAACTCAACTGAGGCACTCCCTCAGTGAATTCGTGCTTACAGTCGTTCGTACACGCTACCTTGACTTCCTTTCGCCACATGTACAGGATCGCAAAGTTGGGTACACACATATATATATGCGCCTTGGACCGACACTCTCAAACCCCAGACGACCATGCACATCCAAGCGATTATTCCTCCTCCTCACACAGTCCCGGTGACAGACTCCGAGTCCGGTGCTCCGGGAGTCCCCAACCCACTCTCCACCCGCCTTCTCTGTGCCGTCGCGTGGATCGTAGGCCTCTCCGTCCTCATCATCACCTCCGCCGCCTTCACAGTCCTCGGCTACGCCGTGTTCTCCATCTCCACCATCCCTGACGGCCACGCGCTCTCCGTCTTCTACGCGTCGCTCATTGGCGGGACCATTCTCATCCCCCCCGTCTGCATCGCATGCGATGCGGCATTCAAGTACAATTTCCCGTCCGGGTATAGCAAGCTGGACATGGCGTCCTTTCTCTGGGTGGAATATGTCCCGCGCGCGCTTATCATACCCGTGTGTGTGGGTGGCGGCGCTTTGGGGTTGAAGATCTTGGAAATGAGCCCATTTGATCAGCTTGTGGATAAGGGACATTTCGTGGCGGCGAGTGCGCTTGGGGGATTGATTTTCCAAGTGATCTATGAAATGTTGAGAGCTGCGGTGGTGATTATGACGCTTATCAGGGAGGGCGGCGAAAGGATTCAAGGAATACCGTGACCTTGTAGTCGTAGTTCTGTTCTCCTAGTAGTATCGTTATGATATGATGTGACCTTCCTTCACACGCGTACAGCATCCAAGAGTGCCCAGGCAGTCTGGTTCTTTCACCAAGAAGAGTAAGTCATTGAGCACATACCGTGAAGGCGCTAACACCACCACCGACAACCCAAGATATGCTTCTTCGGCGCGTCTGGGTTAGGCACAGTGGCAAGTTGACCTTGGCCAAGAGCAAGTTCTTCGCCCATATGGGTCAAGAAGAAGTCAAGGGGGCAGAGGAAAGAGGCATGATGTATATGCAAACTTGAAGCCTGTGGCAAGGAAGATGATGCCTCCAATGGAAGACGTCACTCAGGACGTTCAACGCTCCGGACATGCCAGGTGAATGATATCCAATATACTAGTTGCGCCTCAAAAACATAAAATTGTCGCTTGGCAAAAGAGGACCCGACGCCCGTACAACAATTTTATTGAAGTTGCCGGAGTGCGAGCTGGATTGAATCTGAGTTTACAATCTCGAACGTGACCAGGGATCCTACTGAGGACTAGTCGCAGAGATATATGTCCGAGAACAGATCCATGCCAGATCAGGTGTACGAAATAGCGTCTGCCAGTTCCAAAATGGTGAGTTGTACGTTGAACGGAAAATGTCTCGCCACTGGCACTTGTCGGTACCAACTGGGCGTCTGTAACAGTAACTTCCACATTTACAGGACTCAAAGAGCGTTGCTTGGTGCATACCTGTACAGAAATGGTGAGTTTGGGTAAACTTGTTAACCGAGAAAATGTGCTGAGGAGGCGTACCGATGCCAACTAAGCGTTGTAACAGTAACAACTACATTTCAAAGACACAATTTCAAGGAGTCCATGGCGTCGTATGAGAGAGAAGCACGCTCCGTATGGAAAGACGGGCAAACATCAGTGGCCCGTGGCTGCCTGCAGTATGCGGGACCTGGTTGCCGTAAGAACTCGGTAGTCGGGTGTATTACCTCCCTCATAGCTCATAGCTCATAGCTCATGAGAGTCAGGTCGCAACTCGAACACGGAGAAACCGGCCTCTACATCCGTCGGCAATCGGGTTGACCTCTTTCATCCATGGTCTTTAGCGGATCTCCTTCCCTGTACGTCCCTGGGCCTATTCATGCCTAAATCTCCCTCGGAAATACCTCCGGCTTCAATTGCCGTTCTTTTGCAGCGAATAAGGTAATCTCCCGCTCTGGCGCGGACCAACATGCACTAACAGACCATAGGTACTACTAGCACCTGTCTACCATCAACTACGAGCACTCTCAAACGCATACTTATCCTCTATCTTCCCAAAATCGTACATCATGCTCCCACAAGAACTGCTCGACGAAATTGTCGCTTGGCTTTCCGATGATCGCCCTTCCCTCATGGCACTGGCGTGTACAGCTCAGTGTCTCCGAGCCTGCTCGCAGGAACTCCTATTCCACGAATTGGTGTTGACACCAAACACAAAGTCGCCCTCGAGTTACATGCCTCTTCTCGAAATGTCGCCCCACATATTATCATACGTTCGCCGACTTCGCATCGATACCACAGAGCCCCTCGGATCGATGGTCCCCCGCGAGCGTCTATACGTCGTTGAGGACAACTACTTAAGCCATCTTTTTGAAGCGTTCATCAACGTCGATTGCATCGAGGTGGCGGCCGGGATATATGCCTACATCGCCCTAGGTCGTCTTCTTCCCGTTATCTCATCTCCAAGAGTCCGATATCTCACTCTGAACGGAATATTCCTCGATACCCTGCAGTCTATATTCGCCATTCTTTCATACTTCCCTTTCCTCACGTCGCTTCGTCTTCATAGCGTGAGTTTACTCAACTATAGAAACATCACCGTCACCGAAGAGTCTATTTTGGCGGCTATGGGTACTTCCATATTGAATAACGCTGCCAGCGGAAGGCTGACGCACCTGCATGGTTTCATCATAGAAAGCTATTCCACCAGGGAACTCTTCCTTGTCTCAAAACTCATTCCCCACCTGCCAAGTCTCATCACTCTGACGATGAAGGGTCCAATGGATGACATTAGCCATCCAGTCAGTAAGTATCATCCCATGTCCTCTAAACCATTTACTCACTGGTAGTACAGCGCAGCAACGATTGGCGGTGGAGATACCCGTCTTTCCCTTACAAAAAATCCAGTCACTCCGTCTGTCTCTTCCTGGCTTCACTTCGTCCTGGACGGGATGGTGGCTCAGCCACCTGACCGAGGCGGCAGCCGTCCGTCTGGAGTACCTGGCGATTGATTTCCTGTATGCGGGCGCGCGCGTGGCGTCGGAGATGCAGCAATCAATGGCTGAATGGAAGGACGTGGAGATGACTTTGATGTGTCTTCCGAGGCTCAAGTCGGTGAATATGAAGACGGTTATAGCAGGTCGATGAACGAACGGGTCATACAAATAATCATGAGGTTTCGTGTAGTTAGATATGAAATAATCAGAACACATATACTAATAATGATACACGCATCCATGACCGTGTTCAGTACTGCGCGCCTGGTACTGACCCTGGCGTGCTATACGAAAAGAATACCAACAGCTCCTTCAATCTCGCTTCCAATTTCTCCCAAGTTGCAGCCACAGTTCTTCTCCGTCAACATTGATGAGTACAAGATCATGCAGTGGCCGACGACGGAAGGAGTGTGCGCCAGGTCTTATGTGCACCCAGACCCCGTTCCTCACCTGCCGCCGATGGTGGCGTGAGATGGGCCCAACACGGCCTTGTATCCAACTTCCTGGAGAGTGTCCCGTTGACGTTTAGTGTTTGAGGACCGCCAAAGCCACGCGGGAGGCGGGGGTTTACTGGATTGACCAGCCTGAGTGAGACGGGTGAAGGAGATCCATTCCCCCGAGTTTCCTCTATGACTCATGACATGGAGAGTCAGAGAACGAAAAGAAGCTGGAGGCCGGAGCATCACTGCAACTAGCGTAAAAAATTCTCTTTTGCACAGAGAATACTTACTGTATTCGGATATGGGGAATCGAACCCCACGTACTCACACATTAGACGCGCTAATGTTAGCCATTACGCCATATCCGATCTGCAAAGTTCAGAATGCTATCGTCCAAGATCCTGCCAAGATAGAAAGAGAAAGACACGACAGTTACAAGAATATGAGGCCACCTAACAGTCGTCTAATTAAATACAAATTGTAAGAGTTGAAGGTGTAAATAGCAACACGAGCCCAGCGTTGTCACGGTATTAAGTATGCAGTAGAATATACAATGCACCAAGCCTCTAGTAGATCATCGCTCCGTCGTGGAAATTACACGCCCCCCGAAGCCGCCATCCTTCAGAAACACCTTGAGCTGTATCATAATCGTGTCCAGCTTTCATTTCGGCCGGTCTCGAAGAGCGTTCGCAGGATGAGCAAACAGAAGTCTGGGTCAGGCGGTGCCAGTGCTAAGCATAGTTTGTGGACCTGGATTTACACCAGAAATATGATGAATGAAGGTCAGAGGCTCAGAGCAAAGAGGTTCATAGCACGTGGGAGATCATAGCCAAGTCCTTCAATTGTTCACACTACTCACACTGACAGGACCATTAATTCTGCTCGGCTCCTGCTTTCCCTGCAACAAAAGCGCAACGAGCTGCCTCCTTTGCTGGTTCGTTTTCCACGAAACTTCCGCTTCCGCCCTTCACCTCGGTTTGCTGTAACACAATCCGCTCGAGGCCTCCAGCGTCATTAAATCCAGTCCACACGGGCGAGCGGTCAAGCTTGAACGTATTCGGGTTGCCAGAACGTACAAAGGAAATCCAATACGCGATCAGCTCCGCAGCAAAGGCATTTTCGGCGTCTGTCATGGGCGTAAACGTGCCAGTGCCGTTTAAACTGTAACCTCGTCAGTACTTGACCCTGACCAGCGCGACGCGCCTCTCACCCAGTGTTGCTCCCGCGAAACATCATCCAATTCTCGGCAGCGTGTTCGACAACCCCAGGTTCGCCGCCAGCGCTGGGGTTGGGCTGATTGTATCGGTAGGTCCATGTATCGACTCCGTTTCTAGAAAATGCGTCGCCTACGATTGTTTGCTACGGAAAGGATGAGACGACTGGAGCATACTGGCAAGCGAAAGCACGACTTACACCACATCGAAAGCGGGATTCCCCAGTAATAGTCCTAATGTGTTGCTCGTCCGAGGCGAAATCGGATGCAGGATATACCTAGGCCCTCACATCAGTCAAGTAGCCAAGGCTTGAGAATGTGTAATAGTACTTTGATGAATTCCTCTGTATCTTCGTCGCTAAGACCGGGATACATCGTTTTCATGACAGTCACAATATCCCCAGATGTCGCGCCAGTCTCGTTGGAAGTTGCTCTGGTAGACAAGAGTATGAGCATGATGCTGTAGAAACTGTATAGTAACTTGCCCAACCAGAACAGGCACCTTTGCGAAGGTACCAGAAAGAAGAGAGCGTGTTGGAGTCTCTGTAAACACGTTGCCGTCTATTACGGGATGGAATTCGTAGTATGGTCCGGGGCTAGATACACTCAGCGAGCGATAGCAGGAAGTCGCGGAATGACGGACAAGAGCGTACGATTTAAACTAGGCAAATCTTGGGCACGAGTGAGTGCGCTAAGGTCAGCGCTGCGTAAACAGGCCAATCGAGATTTGACAGCGCCATCTCCACACCCAGCTTCTTGGGCAAAGAAATCAAACAGAGGCTAAGAGGTCTGTCAGCCTAGATGTCACCCCATGACTTGCAAGTTTACCGTGCACAGTTCCGGAAGCGGCATTGGTGTACGATAGATGCTCTGGGGTACGGCACCAGAGAACAGTCTCTCACTTCCATGATTAGCAATGAGGTGCAGTTCTACCGAGCCTCCGCCGGCGCTTTGTCCATTAATTGTCACTTTACTTGGGTCGCCGCCAAACGACGCGATATTTTTCCGAACCCATCGCAGGGCCTCAACTTGGTCCAAGAAGCCGGCGTTGAAATCTCCATTGGAGGAATCGTTGAACTCGGGAGTAGCAAGGAAACCAAAGGAGGAGAGCCGATAGTAAACCGAGACGACGACAATGTCGGGACTCTGTTCGATCCAGTGGTCGAAAGGCCAGTTGGCCGGGTTACCGTAAATGTAGCCACCGCCATGGAAGTACACGAGCACGGGAACTGTGCACGTTGTTAGCCGGGCCGTGTTTGGAGGATCATCCGCACGCACGATTGCTACCCGAAAGAGGCGCGTAGATGTTGACCTTGAGGCAATCCTCAGATCCAGCACCACCAAAAAGTACCTGTGATCAGAATCAGCAGACATGCGCGGAACCGAACGGCATCGTATACCTGACACTGTTCCCTGTATGCAGAAATCCGGATACGACCTCGCGTCAATAGGCCGATGTCCGGATTCCAAAGTGATACGAGTTGTGTTGAGCGGAAGTGGCGACCTAAAACGTCGGTCTGCAAGCGGAGGCTCAGCATACGGGATGCCCAGATAGGCCACAGTATTAGGCAAAGTATGGTTGCCCAGATATTTAGCATATCCAGTGTCCACCACAAACGCGTCGCTGCCTGCGGTGGGGAGGAAAAAAGGCGCCAGAGAGCAGACGAAGACAAGTCGCGCGAAGAGCATTTCGTAGAAACAATGCTGACACTCTATGATTCCAACTCGTTTATAAGGTATGCTCTATAGTACGCCGTGACTGCCTGGGCTATTCAAGTCTGCGGCACCTGACGGGGGAGGTGATGGATCACAAGGCGAGGAAAGAGAAGCGATGAATATTCCTAGTCGCGCGTTCCCACATGATTGAAGGAGCGGAAGCGCCGAAAACGGTAAACCTTTACCTCGCTCTTCGGCCGGAATATTCCGCGTCTTATTAAAAAAGCCAGGTTGATCTTGGCCATAAACCAAAATGGC